CCTTAGGACAAGACCCTTGGGGCCATTCTTGATTCCTCTCCTTCTCTCTAGCCCCACATCCAATTCTTCAGAAAATCTGTTAGTTTTACTTTCAAAATATATCCTACTCTGATCATTCTCTCCCCTGCATTGCCCCCTCCTGATTTAAGGCACCATCATGTTTTGCCTGAAATAATTGCCATGACGCTTCTAACTAGACACACTGCTTCCATCCTTGTCTTGTTGTCTACCCACACACAGTCTGAGCAATCTTTCACATGCAAGTCAGACCATGTTGCTCCTCTGCTCAAAAACCAGTCATTCTATGACCACACATGCTCCACCCCGGGAACCTCCCTGCCTGCTGCTGTCTTCACTCACTCTTTTCTGGAGACAACTGCAGACCTTCTCGCTCTTCCATGGATACTAGATGTCTCTGGCTTTAGGGTCTTAGCATGAAGGTTCTTGGTTTGGAATGTCTCACCCTTCTTCACTCTTGCATAGTCTCATGGTTAGCTTCCTTGCTATCCAGATCTCTACTCTCATTTTCACATTACTCTATTTACAGCTAGAACTCACTCAAATAATGCCAGACCCTCTTATTCTGCCCTATTTTTCCTATAGCTTGTATTACTTTTAACAAAGTATGTAATTTTAAAATTATGTTTATTATTCATTGTCTGCCCCTCCTCCATTGCACAGAGATTTCAACGTGTTGAGTTCTCTGATGTGTCTCAAGCACCCAGGCTTGTGCCTAGCGCAACATGATCAGTGAATATTTGCTGAATACATGCACAAAATAACTTGGACCTCAAACTTAGGATAGTTATAATTTTATTGTAGACAAATACAGTATTCTTAAGTGAAAATAGAATAATGTAGGCTATATTGTGAGGTGGCCTTGATCAAGGGTCAACTGAAGATAAATTTCAGTGGTATGTGTTCAGATGAGGGAGATATAAGATGCAAGTGGAGGTTGGAGTTAGTTGGAAAGATAAAGTGGGATTTTCCAGGAATTATTTAATTTTGCATACAACGGAGAGGATACTCTTTCCTCTTTACATAGAGGCCCAGAATTTAAATTTGTCACCCTGTATTTGCCACACCACAGGTTTAGATCCTGAGATATTTTCCCCTCCCACTTCCCCTGCCCTGTGGTCTCAAGGAAAGTGGCTGTTTCTCTGTGGTATGATCAGACATAATGAGAAATACAGATCAAAACTGTTGAATCACTCAAAAGCTGGAGGAATCTGGAATAGAGTTATTAGATTTGGGGTATTTTAATCATTTCCTGTAGTTGGCAGGTTCCAAAGGGTCAATTTGCAACAGAATCAGGGAGGATACACTTGAAGAAATTTCACTGCTTCTGCATAGTTTTCAAACTTGGTAGTGTCCTAATCAAGCCTCCAGATTTGCGGGTCGGTCAGATGCCTGAGACATGTGCCCTTCTCAGTGGTGACACTTCCCTGTGACAACCCTAGTCTCTAGCTTTGGTCAAGTAAAACTTTTCTATCATCTGTTCCATTTACACTGACTTACCCTGCTTTCAAGAACATTGGTTTGCTCCTAACATGGGATGAAAGTTGAGAGGGAGAATGTTATCCTTTATGTGACTTTCTTCCTGTTCTCTTATGAGATAACTCATCTGGCTTCAGTGTATGCATATCATATCTTGTCCTCCTGTGATGGCATTAAGGACACAACTTCAATTATTGGGGGATCCTACCAATATATCTTCCAAAGGCCAAACAGGAATTGACCATAGTAACAACCTAAGCTGACCATCAGGCCAAACACATTAGTTTCTAGAATAATCTAATGGAGAAAGTGCATTGGGTTAAAGAAACTGAATATCCAGACAAGGTACTTTTGGAAATGCTCATGTTAGGGACTGAGGTCTTTATACAAGCTAATCAACTCCTGGTTGGCCCCTGACAGGCTGAGCTATGAGACACTGACAGACTGCAGGAGCAAGTCCATAAGCTGAAGGGTTCTCAGCCACAGCTGCATACAACAACCTCCCAGGAAGGCCTTGGAACAACCAAAGCTAGGGCTCATGCCAGAGATTTTGGTCCAATCAGTCTGGCATGAGGGCATCAATCTTTTTAAAAAGCTCTCCAGGTGATTCTAGGTGTAGCCAGAAATGAAAACTACCTGGCATAAAGGATCCAGAGACTGGATAGCTGAGAAGCTGGGAGAGAGAATGTAGCCTCCACGCCTGCCACATTATCATTATCACTGTTGCAAGGGTCCCTCCCCCATTTCCTACTTCATCAATTTTCCATTTTCTCCTGGATTATTTCCACAATCGTAAACAAGTTGCAATTTGTCCCATTCTAAGTAAAAAGCCCTTTCTAAACTCCACATCTTTCTTCAGCCAATGCCCATTCCATCCTTTTAGAGAAAAACTCCCTTAAAGATGTGCTTGGTGTAGATGATGTCCAATTCCTTTCTGTCCTTCCTCTCCTAAGCCCACTGTATCTGGACATCCACCCTCCCTACTGCACAGACATAGTATATCTTGCCATCTAGTCGGGCCAGTGATTTCAGATATCCCCCCCCCCCAATAACATTAATGGGGAAACTGGAGAACCCAACACAGACATTCCTGACACACTCCGGGTTAGAGTACTCTGATCCTGCCCATGGCTGGTCTCATAGTGCCCGATCAAAGCTCAGTGAACAGAACAAAGAACCAAAACAACTTTCCAGGGCGCCTTTGGATAAGATTGTTGTTTAAAACCCTTCTTGATAAAAATCCTCAAACACCTAGGTATGGAAGGAACATACCTCAAAATAGTAAGCACCATCTATGATAAACCCACAGCCAGCATATGGCTAAATGAACAGAAACTGGAAACATTCCCCTGAAAACCGGAACAAGACAAGGCTGCCCACTCTCACCCCTCTTGTTCAACATTGTGTTGGAAGTCCTAGCTAGAGTAATTAGACAAGAGAAGGAAATCAGAGGTATCCAAATAGGAAAAGAGAAAGTTAAGTTATTCTTTTTGCTGACGATATGATTCTATACCTCAAAAATTCAAGAGAATCTGTAAAAAACCTGTTTGCACTTTGACATTGGCAAAGTCTCAGGGTACAAAATAAATGTGCAAGAGACAATTGCATTCTTATACACCAACAACAAGCAGGCAGAGAACCAAATAAAAATCACAATCCCATTCACAATAGCCACAAAAAAAATGAAATACCTCAGCATCTTCCTAACCAGAGAAGTGAAAGACCTTTACGATGGGAACTACAAAACACTGCTCAAAGAAATCCAAGAGCACACAAATAAATGGAAAAATATTCCATGTGCATGGATAGAAAGAATCAACATTGTTAAGATGTCCATCCTGCCAAAGGTAATCTACAGATTCAACGCATTACCCATTAAATCACTAACATCATTCTTCTCAGACCTGAAAATGGCAATACAGAAATTCGTATGGAAACATAAACGACCATGAATAGCCAAAACAATCCTTAGCAAAAGAAATAAAGCAGGAGGTATCACACTTCCAGACTTCAAACTTTACTATAAGGGTACAGTAATCAAAACAGCCTGGTATTGGTACAAGAACAGGCATACGGACCAGTGGAACAGGATAGAGATTCCGGAAGCAAAACCTCAATTTCTCAACTAACTCATCTTTGACAAAGCCTCCAACAACCACCACTGAGGAGAGGAGGACCTAGTCAGTAAATGTTGCTGGGAAAACTGGCTGATCACATGAAGAAGATTAAAACAGAAGATTAAAACTGGACCCCTATCTATCACCATACACAAAAATTAACTCTAAATGGATCAAAGACCTAAATGTAAAACCTCAAAGTATAAGAATCTTAGAAAATGTAGTAGACACCCTTATGGAGATTGGAACTGGCAATCAATCCCTGATCAAAATCCCAAGTGCCCATGCCATAAGAGATAAGAGAAAAGTGGGACCTCATCAAACTGACAAGCTTCTGCAAAGCAAAAGAAACCATCAAGAGAGTGAGGAGACAGCCTTCGGAATGGGAAAAAATATTTGCTAACTGTATATCTGACAAAGGCCTAACATTTAGGATCTACAAGGAACTCAAATGTACTGAAGGAAAACAAAAACAAACAATTCCATTAAAAAGTGGGCAAAAGACATGAATAGACACTTCTCAAAAGAAGTTATATGGGCAGCCAACAGACACATGAAAAAGTGCTCAGCCTCAGTCATCATCAGAGAGATGCAAATCAAAACCACATTGAGATACCACCTAACCCCAGTAAGAATGTTCATCATAATAAAACAAACAACAACAGATGCTGGTGAGGATACCGAGAAAAAGGAATGCTTCTACACTGCTGGCGGGAATGCAAACTAATGCAATCTCTTTGGAAGACAGTGTGGCAATATATGAAAGAACTAGAAATTGATCTTCCATATGACCCAGCAATCCCTGTATTGGGAACACACCCAGAGGAACTCAAGTCATTCTACAAAAAACATTTCTGCACACACATGTTTGTTGCAGCTCTATTCACAACTGCAAAAACAGGGAACCAACCATGCTGCCCATTAAAGCTGGACTGGATTAAAAAAATGTACATATGCACAACGGAATACTATATAGCCATAGAGATGGTCAAACATTTGGATTTCACAGCAACTTGGATGGATTTAGAGTCTGTCATACTCAGTGATCTGTCATAGAAACCAAGAACAGAGTACCACATGTTCTCACTCATAAGCGGACCTTACCTTGAACAATTATCATAATACTATAGGAAAGGGATTGGTAGTAGTGGGAAACTGCCAGGGGAGGGGAAGTGGGATTGACAGTTGAAGGAGATTGCCAGGGGGGTGGGGGGCACACCTCATCAACAAGGGGACCTGCATAATGAACATTTGTATGCCTAATCCTGAATTGTACCCCATACCTTTAAAATAAAAAATTTAAAAGTTAAAAAAAAGATTGCTGCTTAAAAAATGTCAACAATGACAGTGATGAGGTCTTTAGTAAAGGAGAAGGCTATGACTTACACAGTGTGTGGTGGTGATGATGACAGAACTGGAGATGAAAGAGAGGCCATCGTTCATGCTGACCTGGAGTGCAGCTTTCCTGCAATGACAACAAGGGAATCAGAGACACTCAGCATGGTGTGCAATAAGCAATGGGCTGAGAGCCATCTCCTTTGGACTTTGAACTATCCTTGGGACTGCAGTCTCTTCTCTTGAGAAGGGGTTTGAGTTTCCCCATTTGTAAAATGAGGATGGTTGTTATGTCTCATCATCCTCTCACATTTTGGATAGATGTCAGGATATGCTTGACTGGCATATTAAGGCAGTGCATTTAGACCTTGCATTGCAGTGAACAACACTGAATGGGCAAAGCCCACTACTACTTAACTTACTTGTCACTTTGTAGTAGGACAAAGAGTTCTTCAAACATGGTCCAATTCAATGGGGATAAACTGGGCAAACTATAAAACTGATGTTTTACTGCCATCACCTAGACTCTCCAGTGATCTGAAGGGGGTGACTTTGTCTATCTATTCAGCAAACTTACAGAGATAAGGTGATAGGGGAACCAGTTTGCCTTCTATCTCCTCCCATCTATAAGGGACTCACCAAAACATGAGCTTACATTTTGTTGCCTTTTGGCAGCATGGACACCAGGTAAATTTGTGGAATCACTGGTATCACAGGCGACATCAGTTAGGCAACCAGAGTTAGAGGTCTTACAATATAAGCAAATGATTGAAAGCAGAACTCAGGTGGACATTTTTTCCTTAAAACCACATTCAATCTCCAGCCTTTTACAGGCATGATTTTGGAGAGAATGTTTTGTTTTGTTTTGTTTGTTTGTTTTGTCCTCTGACCAGCACTGCCTGCCTCCTGACATATTTCTTTTCTTGCTTAGGGTGCAAATTATCTTTTTTCTGGTGAGTATTTTGAATACATCTCATTAGCACTTATTGTAATTGCATCACCATGAGATTTTCTGCCATAAATTAGCGAATACCCAGTGCTCTGTGGAGGAGTTAAGGAAGGAGCAAGCACTGAGGGTGATGCTGGAATGTCTGAGTCTGGAGTCTCCATTTGCCATGAGCCAGTTGTGGCCCCACCTGGCCTTTTTGAACCTTCTCATCAAAAAAGGAGATAAAATCATTGAGCAGGTTAGTGGTGGGCAAGGTAATGAGTGTGAGAGCTTTCTAGAAGTGTAGTTGTGATTAAGCCAAACAGACCTCGGGTTGAGCCCAGATGCCTCCACTGACTACCTTGTGACCTGGGCAAGCTACTTAAATTCTCTCAGCCATAGCTTCCACACATGTAAAATCAGGATAATGGGAATGTCTGATTTACGGTGAACCTGGGAGGATGAGTGAGATACTCTGTAAAACACTTATCCTGGTGCCTGGCTCACTGTAAACACCACCTGTCACATCATTATGCAGACATCTAGAGAAAGGCTCCCTCATGACAATGGAGCAATGCTTTCTTTTTCCTATGTCCCCTCTGCCTTCTCTGTCCTCCCTGGCTATGAAATTCAGTTGCTGGTGAAAACTTACATGCCAACTTCTTTTAAGATAGGTGCTGGACACAGCAAATAAGTATCTTCCACAGCAAAGGGTTTCTCATCTGCAAAAAAGAAGTCACTTTATTAAGAAGAGTAAGGCAAATTTATAACTTCAAATTTAGTGACTTCTAGAGAACATCAACCAAGTCCAGGAAGACAACAGAAAAACAAACAACTTTTTGAGATTAAAAACTCCCGTTGAGCTGTACATTCATTAACACTACACTCCAGTACTCTTGCCTGAATAGTGGTTTCCTGATCTCGTATGTTCAGTTGAGTCAACCAGTGAGCAAACAGTAAGTGAACTCTTAGATGGAACAGGAATAGCTAAGGGGAAACAAGAAAATATTAGACTGGTCCTAAGGAGCTTCATGTCTAAGTCTAGTTTGGGAGAGAATCCAAATTTGTGGAAAAAGTTTGCTGGCAAATAAAAGAAGTGACTTAACTAAAACATCACTGGGCTTCAGAAGACAGGGAACTTCCTTTACAAGGGTGACATGGTCAGGTCACAAGAACATACAAAACATGAGCTGTGTTTTAGTGGAGAGATAGGGGAGAGGCATTCCTGGAGGGAAGAATGGCATGAGGAAAGACAGGACAAACTAAAGGTATGTTCCAGGGTAGGATATAAGTAGGATTTGAACAGATCAGTATAGAAAGAAGTTTGGTCCAAGTTCTTTAAGTTAGCTAGAGGGATTTGGACAAAGTTCTATAAGCTATGAAAAGACCTTTGGAGGGGTTATAAGTAAAACTGGAGTGATGATTTTGGAGGTCTTAGCAGATGTAGCTGTGGAAGATGGATTAGAGTGGGGCACTTGGAGGAGGGAAATTCTTCTGCTTATTCTAATGGACGGCCAGGAAAAAGCTTAAGTGGTTTTAATCTCAAGGTTCTAAGCAACTTCAGTGTGTTTCAGATTCTGGGGCCAGAGGCAGGGCTGATAAGTTATTATACTCAGTTTATAATAGGTGTTCCTTCATGCCTCATCCTTTATTGGGTACATATGTGCACAAAAGACTTCAGTAGGGCCTTCAGGTGAAAAGAAGGTGAATAAGATTTGTCCCAAAAATCAAGTTGTGACTACAAATACTAGAAGATACAAAAGAATACATATATAGAGAGGGTGCCAAAAAATGTATACACATTTCAAGAAAGGAAAAAAGTGTATTAAAATTGTAACACTCAATATATACCAATAACAAAAGATGAACACAAGTCATCTTGGGCTTCTGCAATTTTAAGAGGTGCTCAAAGTGGTTACCATCAGAGTCCAGATACTTCTGATTACAGCAAACTAAAAGTAGTACATAGGCAACATGGCTTAAAATGTGTATACATTTGTTGGCACCCCTAGTATTAATAAAGGATGATATTCTGCTATTGGCCTTTGTTGTGACATTGATATTTCTTATATTTTCAAGTCATGACAGCAGCATATGACTGACTGAATGCTTGGCTGGGTGGAGGTTAGGAAGGCTTGTGTCCTTTATGACTGGATTTCCAGAGAAAAGCCACCTAGGATGGAAGCTAGAGAACACACCTCAGTGCTAAGCACTGTGTATCCACTGGAAGGAGGAGGAGGAAGAAGATGTTGCCCAGGGAAATCTTCAAGCAGTGAAAAGCTAGGAAGGCTATGACAAGACACTTGTTTATTCATTCAACAGATATTTATTGAAGGCCTACTATATTCTGCAGGCTTTGAGAAGAGAAACACATCTCTGCTTTCATGAATTTTGTAGGAGCTATAGGACAGATAGTTATTCAACATTATTAAAAATATATTCTTTAGCCGGGCTCGGTGGCTCAGCCTGTAATCCCCGCCTTTGGGAGGCTGAGGTGAGTGGATTGCCTGAGCCTTGGGTTCGAGACCCGCCTGGGCAGCGAGACCTCATCTCTACAATAAATCAAAAAATCAGCCGGGCGTGGTAGCGCATGCCTGTAATTCCGGCTACTCGGAAGGCTGAGGCAGAAGGATCGCTGGAGCCCAGCAGGTCGAGGCTGTGGTGGCCGGGAGTGGCCACTGCACTCCAGTCTGGGCAACAGAGTGAGACTCCAACTCAAAAAAACCCAAAAAAAACCAACAAAAAAATATATTCTTTGAGTGTCTACCATGTGCCAAGGACTGTGCTAAGGCTTGCAATGAACAAAACAGGTGAAGCCCTTTGCCTAAGGAGCTAACATACTAGTACTTACACAAATTATTATTTAGTTATAACTGTGATGAACACACAGAGGAAGAAAGCGGAGACCAACCCTCATCTGGGAGGTCAGGAAATGTTTCCTTGAAGAAAGGTTATTTTCACCAAAACCTTAAGGTTGGGTTGAGAAGGAGGTAGAGTAAGAGAAGAGGTGGCACTGCAAAGATCCGGGGGCAAGAAGGAGTTCAGATCTTTTGAGAGCACAAAGAAGGCTAAGGAGGCTTTTGAATTTGAGTGAGATAGACAGTGATTCAAAATGCGGTTAGAAGCTGGGCTGGGTGGCTCAGCCTGTGATCTGCGCCTTGGGAGGCTGAGGTGAGTGGATTGCCTGAGCCCGCGGGTTCGAGACCCGCCTGGGCAACTTGACGAGACCTCATCTCTACAATAAATCAAAAGTTAGTCGGGCACGGTAGCATGCCCCTGTAGTTCCAGCTACTTGGAAGGCTGAGGCAGAAGGACCGCTGGAGTCCAGCAGGTCGAGGCTGCGGTGGCTGGGAGCGTGTCACTACACTCCAGTCTGGGCGACAGAGTGAGACTCCAACTCAAAAAAAATAAAATGAGGTTAGAAAAGGCAGTGAGGCCAGATGACCAAGGTCATGCAGGCCATGAAGAACCTTTTGGGATTTTTCCTAAAAGCAACAGGGAACTATTGGAGGTTACGCCCATATTTACAATCAGCTTTTGGCAGGTAATGGAACGTAACAGTAAAATTGATTGAGTAAAATTATGGAGTTTGTACTGACAGTATAGGATAATACAGTGCCTGAACTGAGCATTATTGTTTTCAGGATGTTTTCCTGTCTGTGATGATAATACAGGCAGTCCCTGACCTAATGATGGTTCAACTTAACGATTTTTCGACTTTGTGAAGGTGTTTTTTGTTTTGTATGTTAATGGTGAGTATTCATACAACTGTTCTATTTTTCTTTTTATATTTTCTTTTAAAGATATGGGGTACAGTTCAGGATTAGGTATACAAATGGTCATCGTACTCTATTTTTCACTTTCAGTGCAGTATTCAGTAAATCTCATGAGATAGTTAATACGTCGTTATAAAATATGCTTTGTGTTAGATCATTTTGTCCAACAGCTGGCTAATGTCAGTGTTCTGAGAACATTTAAGGAGGCTAAGCTAAGTTATGAAGTTCTAAAGATTAGGTAAACTAAATGCATTTTCGACTTACAATAGTTTCACCTCATGATGGGTTTATTGGGACATAACCCCATTGTAAGTCAAGAAGCATATGTAATGACAGCCAGACTCACCCAGAGTGTGCTACATATAGGTGCCCTCTAAGAGCTTTCTGTATATCACTTAATCAAATGTAACCTTCTAGCAGAACTATAAAGAAGGGATATTACTCCTATCATTTTTAAGGTGAGGAAGAGATGTGGAGGGATTAAGTCATTTGCCCAGTGTTACAAAGGGTAGCTTAGATCTGCACCCAGGCAGTCTGGCTGCAGAGTTCATGTGTTAGTCCAATGGGCTACACTGCCACCCTTGGTAAAAACCATGCCCTGTTTCCTTCTCATGACAACCTTGTGAGCTAAGGAAGAGAGGGATCATTAGGCTCTCTTTTCAGATGCAAAAATGGAGGTTCAGACAGAAGACAGCAACTCATGTGGTTGCACAGCAAGTCAGAGTCAAAGTCAGGACTAGAACTTAGTTCTGTATAAATTCTGCACTCTCCTTTCATCGCTAAGAGACTCTCCATTCCAGGAAAGGCTTGTATTAGAGAATAAACAGAACTTGGGACGAGCGTGGCTGGCCAGAACTTACATTTATTTCCTTGTGGCCATGGCTTATTCTGTTGCACATGCATTAGCAATACCTGGGAGTGCAGATTCCTGCCTACAGAGCCAGCCCACAGAGCCATGGGACCGCCACAGAGCGGCCACAGGCGGCCTTGTGACTCCTGGCTGCATTCTGTGGGAAGAGCTGGGTCATGCTGAGGAGGGCGTCTGAGGTAGCACACTGTAGCATCACAGCTGGGAAGACTCCAGAGGCTGGCATGTCCTGGTCCTGTGTTAGCCTGAGTTCACTTCCGGCTGCCTCTGAACAGTTTCTCTCCTTCCCTACATGACAACTGGAGAGGGGTGAGAGGATGAGCGTGGCTTGGGCCTGGCAGACATGTCTCACTCTTCTCCTCCTTTCCTTTTCCTTTTCTGCTTGGGAGATCAGTATTTCTGTAGCAGAGCAGAGGAAAACCTTGCTGGGAGGACCAAAGGAGGTTTTGCTGAGGCTGTAGGACAACCTCCTTCCATCAGGGTTTATCAGCTTCCAAGGCTGGGGGCCTGCTCTGTGGAGTTGGCATTTTCTGCTCTGAGGAGATTGTTTGGTTTGGAGCCTGTTTTCACTTTACCACAAAAATGAGTGACTTTTTTTTCCCTCTCTTTCTAAACAAAGGAGGGCCATTTGGTTTCCATAACTCAGGTCATCTGACTCCTTCCTGGAACGTCCACTTGGGAAGCAGAGCACAAAGTCTTGCTCCTCAGCTGGGCTACGTTTGGCTCAGGGGCCATGCCAGCCTCACTGCAGTCTCTGCCAAAGCCAGTAGGGTTGTGACGTTTATGGGCCACTCCTAGTACAACCGAGGCCCCTGCGGGTGCACCCACTGGGCAGCCATTTCACTGCTCATTAGCACTGAGTGGGCAGGGGAAATGGAGACCAGAAACTCAGATTGGCCCCCTTGGCTTTTGTTTGCAACTGGAGAGAAAATTAGGGAGGGGCGGGAGTTTGAAACTAGAAGTTAAATGGAAGTTTTAGAAAATCCTGAAACATAAATTTCCTTGTCCACTACCAAAGACCTTTCAGATTCTGTGCAGGTCGTGACACAGGTTTACCCAAAGCACTCATATCTAGGAG